CCAGCAGAAGCCAAGGTAAGGCTCGATGAAAAGCTCGGATCAGTTAGATAAGTTTTACGCAAAAACCTAAATAAGCACCTCGGTGACTAAGCAGCCTGCTTGCTTGTCAGCAGGCAAGCAACGTGCTAGGCTGCTTGGTGACCGAGCAGGGTGCTTGCTCTGGTCATGGGTAGATCGTGGGTAAGCCCGTTGTAGGATCGTGCTCGAGTGTGTCGACCACACGCCAGTGCGTGTTGCGCACACGCCTGGTCTTATGCATCATCACCACCTCGTGTRAAGCCTAGGACGWTACCCGCGGGTGAAGAATGGGCAAGTGGCCACGAGTTGTCCAGCTGCTTCACCTGCTTGGGCGTGCCTATTTAAAGGTCGGCCCGACCTAGTAAGCAGGAGACACGACAATTTTTGCCTTGTCCAAACATAACTTATTTTCACCGCAAACTTTCATTGTAAATGGTAGCCTAGTTCATGATCGTCCCATCCGATCAGTCCGTCCGAACCGAGTAGTTCATTTTCTAGTCCACCGCGAACCATAGAGTAGTTTCGCCGCGAGCCTTGTCGAACAGGTTTGGGAAAACTTAGGGTAAGTTTCCCGTGATCGAACTATAGTTTTTCCGAAGTGATTTTTCGTGCTAATCATGATACTAACCTTAGTTTCTTGATCCAATGCTTGGTTCCATCTTAAAATCGTAGGATCATAATTGGCTAGACTTCGAAAGATCTAGAGATAGTCCACGGCAAGCTCAGTTCCAAGTTAGGTAAGATCCGTGGGCTTTACCATCAAATTTTCCTTAAGAAAACTCTAAGTCTTACCTTAGTTAATTCGTGAACCTTTGGAACAGATTCCAGCTCAAAGACTAAGGCAACACCGTTCGTAAAAGTCCTTAGCCTTTATGGCTTTGGGCTAAAGGATACCTTGTGATTTAACGTGAAGGGAAATAGCCTACGCGAAAGACCTTATATTGACATTGCATAGGATACCTTGTGATTTAACGTGAAGAGAAATAGCCTACGCGAAAGACCTTATATTGACATTGCATAACTTATCGCATTTTTTCGTTAGATTTGCTTGCTTGTGTGTCGATTGTTATTTTGGGTTTCATTGGGAATTGATTATTGAATGTTAGGGGAGCCTAGACTCACTGAGCAACTAGTGCTCACGACTCTACTTATGTTGCAGGTAACCATTAGCGGGTAGACCACCGAGAGCCAAAGGAACGTTAAGAAATCCAGCAGTAGATTTRCTTGTCTTTTGTAAATGAATAATGTTTATTATGTACGTGATCGTTTTGGAGTGTTAGACTCACAATTGTATATGCTTGTATCACGTTTGAAACTTATGTATAAATTATATATAAAATTGAGTTTGCATAAATTCGGGTTTCATGTGATACTAGTCTTTGTCCGGACGAACTAACCATTGTGTATGTCTCGGGTTGGTAAGTCTTGAGGTGTATTCAATGGGGATGGACGCTTAGAAGTCTTATCTAGGGAATTTGGATGTGTTCCGAAAACCTCTGATCGGACATCTAAGTGTTCCGTCAGTGGCGTTCCCGGTCTAAAAATGTTCGGGGGCATTACAGCTCATCTCCCATGAGCATGGATTTCCATCCAATCAAACAGACTATGCTACTAGCTAGGTTTGTTTCTTGCTCTGTATATGTATATTTCATGTAATAAAAAATCTATCAAAAAAAATAAAATCAGAAGTTTTTTTGCTTGAATTTGCATTGTTTCAGTTGGTACAAACGTAGGGGATATTGGGCTCTGGGAAGTTGGTTCTCGAGAACGTCTAGTATAGAAGACTTTCAAAGTTTGGGACTTGAGTCAATGTTCGATGCCCTTTCTTTATGAAAAGCAAACAGAATCTTAATATTTGTCATTTATTGGCAACTTGAGTGATCATAATTTCTGTCGTACAGGCTGCTTTGGTGAAAGAACCTGTCAACCGTGTGATTTGGAGCCCAGATGGTTTCTTATCCGGTAAGATTTGAGATTAAAAATGCTCTGTTAGATGATTTTCGGGTATTCATATGTGCGTTTTCAACTGCAGGAGTTGCTTATTCGGCAACACCTCGAGGTGTTATATGGTTCACAACATTTTATGAGAGTTTCTTTCATTTTCTGTAATTAAAAGCAGTTTTTGATTTCAGATTGATGCTCATGTTGGGCGGTGTTAATGACATTGCATTTTCCACTCCGAACAAGCAACTATGTGTTACTACTTGTGGTGATGACAAAACCATCAAGGTTCAGTCTTTTTCATTTCCTTTCTCTAACTTTTTTCTTTCMTTTAGAGCTTAAAGAAGAAAACTTATCAATACTTTGAATTAAGGTCTGGGATGCTGCAACGGGTGTAAAACGGCATACTTTTGAAGGCCATGAAGCTCCTGTCTACTCTATCTGCCCTCACTACAAGGAAAACATTCAGGTAATTACCAAAATATAAATGGTTTCATTTTTGCGAAGTACAAGTTTAAATTCGTTTCAATTTGGTTTTAGTCTTGACTTGGTTTTTTTGAAACTTTTTCATTAGCTAATTTTTTTTGGGTTTTTTGGGTTTTACATCACAACATTGTAGTGGGCCTAGCCTTACAATCTCAGGATGGGCTCGACTTAGGCCCAAATCAAAAGAAACTAATGGGCCAAGTCCGATCCAACCTCAATCTCAAAGCAGAACCCCTAGACCTAAGAGCCACCATTGGAATAGGGCATGTCGACGCACTGAACTCCGGCGGAGGACCGGCTAAGACGGTGGACGAATGTCGCATGTCCCCTGGTCGAGGTTGGCGGCAAAGCAACCGGTGGATCTTGTTCCATACTCAACCAACCAACCCAAATAGATCTAGCCGAAGACACTACAAAGGTGGAGAGAAGGGCCAACAGACAAAACCCATCGGACTTCCAAACACGACATGAGAGATTTAAACAAACAACGCCAAGCGCTAAAGAGACAGAGATCAAACGGGGCAGGACAGAGGTCAAGCAGATCTCGACCAAGAACCATAACCATAAACCCCAATCCAGTAAGGATATTGATAACGAAGGACTGAAGAGGCGAGGGAGAGAGCTTTACCTAAGGAACTCAAGCAAGAGGAACGGAAGAGGTAGGATTGGCCTCACAGTGGCCGGAGCACCGGGAAAACTCGAGAATCCGGCGAGATCTACCATCCTAAAAGCAGATCCACCGAGTAAAGGAGACATCCGAAGCAACAGCTACCACGAAGCCACTTACCGCTTCACCACAGGAGAGCCGTCAAATCCACCACTCCAACGCAAAACCAAGCCCAATAACGACTAGATCTGCAGCCACGAAAAGCCACCGCATGTACTCCAAGCCAGAGAGCCTCGTAGATCCCGTCGATGGGATCCGTCGAAAACCCAACGCCGCAGATGAAGTTCACAAGAAATCGAAGCCATCCGCATCTAGACCGGAGAGAGAGAAACGGCCGCCACTAGTTTCTCCGAGAAGACCCGCCGCCGCAGATGAAGTTTCATAGGCCACAAAAGGATGGAGTTGAGGGGGCCTCTCACAAAGCCGGCGATGCCGAACACCGGAGAGGCCAAGCGAAGCTGAAGGCGGAGCTGCGACTAGGACAAACTTTTCTTTTTTAGAGAGAAAAGTAGAGCTTATCTCTCTACCTTCTCTCTCAATCAATCAATGTTATTTCCTCTTGTTTATATCTTCTTGTGCCCAAGTTCATCTTTTCAACTGCGCTCGACGGTAAAATAAAAGCGTGGTTATATGATAACATGGGTTCTCGGGTTGACTACGAAGCTCCTGGTCGCTGGTGTACAACGATGGCCTACAGTGCTGATGGAACTAAGATATTTCATCGTAACA